ATGACCTAGTTAGCTTTATGTTGTACTTTTGATATTTACAGACTACAGGGTAGTACTACTTTCCTTATTTGATAAAGTGGCACTTAAGACTAATTAGACATCCCTGTTTCTCCTTTTTAATAGACAAGTTTTTCATTTTGCAGATCAAGTTGCACTTGAAACTGAAAGCAGGATTTCTCCTTTGATCAATGAGAAGAAAAGGTTGTTCAATGACTTGTTGACTGCCAAGGGTACTAAACCATCTTCATCTTGAAAGAGATCCTGGATGCACTTCTTTATAACATTGCTCTTATTTTGCTTTGTTTTTGTTTAACCTAACAGTCATTGTTTCTAGACTCATAATTACAAAGAAAGGCCAGAGCTGGCTTATTAGTATTTTATTCTTATTGTATTTTCATCTACACTTAATGTTAGACTTCTGTTTTAAAGTGTAGATGGATGATTTCAGGCAACATTAAGGTGTACTGTCGTGCAAGACCTGAGTTTGTACATGAGGGTCCATCTGCAGTTGAATTTCCTGATGATGTCACCATCCGTGTCAGTTCTGGTGTTTCTGCTGATCCAACTTTAAAGAAGGATTATGAGTTTGATAAGGTCTATGGACCCCACGTTGGCCAGGGTACGGGAAGTTAATAATGGTTATATTTCCATGATAGCTTCTTGTTAAATTGTGAGATTGTTGTTTTGCTATTTGCTAATTAAAAAATGTTTTAATAGTCAAGTAGTGGTTGTCTGAATAAGAATGGTAATTGAGGTTGTAATATAAGAGTTTGTCGCTTTATATGTGCAGGTGAGCTTTTCCTAGATGTTCAACCCTTTGTACAGTCTGCATTGGATGGAAACAATGTGTCTATATTTGCATATGGACAAACTGGCTCTGGGAAAACACACACAATGGTAATTATAATGAAGCACACACATTGGTATCCCTTTACCTCTGCTTAGAAATCAGTACTTGATGTTCGTTTCCTGAATGAAACCCACCCTGCCTTTCTCCTTGAACCTCACATTGTTGTCGTCTCAAGATCATTAAACCTTTATATTGGCTTGAATTTGATCTCTTTCTCTTCTATTCGTGCTTTTTTGCTAGCCATTCTTGTAATCTGCAGACCATTTCCTCAGTCTTACTTTGGATGTCACTGTGTCACTTACTTTCCCACTCAGGAAAGGGAAGATGACCAGAGGGAACTAACTTCCCATCAGATTTCATGATTAAGGAATGAGAAAAGGCCGACATTAGTAGGCACCAAACTGAAAAATAAATAAAGGTCTCTGTGGAAGATGTTTCTCACTGAATGAAAAGAACCATTGTTATTTATTTGCATTTTTCTTGATTTTTGACAACTTTCTTTTTGGGAACTGATCAAATTTGTGATTTAATCATGATTCATGAAGTACCCTATGTTCATCTATTCCCTTCTAATGCATTTGCAGATTTTTCAGGATCCAGCGTATTACACTATTCTTAAGTTATCTCTTTTGGATGATGCTGTTCTAATTTGGTTTTGACCATGGCAGGAAGGCTCTAGTCATGATCGTGGTTTATATGTGCGATGTTTTGAGGAACTTTTTGATTTATCAAACTCAGATACTACTTCCATTTCAAAATATGATTTCTACGTTACAGCATTTGAGCTATACAATGATCAGGCAAGTTTCGTTAGTAATTTTGTTCATTACATTTATGTTGTAAAACTAGGTAGTTGTATGTGATTCCCTGAGTTTATTTGCTTGTCTTTTTATTGTTATTATCATTAGTTTCCATCCATCTCCATGTACCAATGTGGTTTCTTTGTATTTTTTCTAGGTTCGAGATTTACTTTTATCTTTCAGCAATGCCTCAACCGTTTGCTTGGGTCCTCCAGATTCTTCTGTTGAACTTGTACGGGAGAAAGTTCAGAATCCAATAGACTTTTCTCGAGTCTTGAAAGTGGCACTTCAGAACCATGGGCAGGATGTGTCAAGATCTAGTACTTCTCATATGTATGTGCAAAGTATTATTATGCCTGGCTGGCCTTTATACTTGTCACATGTTTATTGTTTTTGTCATTCCTTGCTATGAAATTTTTTAGATAATTGTACTTTGATATTAGGTTTTAGTTGAAGAACCATATTTGTTTTATGCTTTGTTTTAAGCTTATGTACATTCTTTTACTTTTGTCTACTATTTGCCTTTAATCTCAAAGCTTTTCAGAGATATAGTCTTCCTGTCAGATAATTTCAAAATTCTACTTTGAAATTCCTTTGTTGTTCTATATATTGGACTTCAGCGGAATATGTTTATACTTTATTATGGCCCAATCCATTTATGGATGTGGCAACAACATTACTCTGTTGCAAGTTACATACTTCTTAAAAATGAAAAAGACTCTACAAGCCACGTGCTATACTGAAGCCTAGCACAAAGGGCCCCTAGAAAAAGACTCTACAAGCCAAAATTTGCAGCATTTCAGTGATCATCTCTAGAAAAATAAAAAAAATAAACTCATTAATTTACAAATGATAAAAAAATTTCACTCCAAATAGTGAAAATCAGGGTATCGATATGATGGATGGTGAGATCTAGGTTTTTACGAATCAAAATCATTTTTTGCTATTATTATTATTTTTTTGAAATTTTTAGTCTTGTGAATCAAGGATGTTTTGGAAAATTCAGATAAATAGCTAGGTGTTTTGGTCGCCTGGCCTATACTGTCGGTATGTTCCTCTTGGTCTATAGAATATTCTTTCCTCGTAAAAGATATCGGATAGGATGTATATTTCATAAGAAGTGTCATTTGTTTTAGTTTATTGTATCTTATATTTATCAGTTCCCATCTTGGGCTTTCACTTAATTACTATCATTCCAGGATCATTACACTTCATATACATTACAGCAACTGGGTCACTAGCGAAGTACTCTACAGCAAGCTTTTCCTTGTTGACTTGGCTGGAAGTGATTGTTCACTTGATGAAGGTGCTTCTGGTGACAGTGTGACAGAAATGCTACATGTAATGAAATCTCTATCTGCGTAAGTACTTCAATAAGTACTTCAATTCTTACATTTTTAATCAATATAAACTTAAGAAGTGAACAACTGCTGTAAGTTTTCATCGTTTTCATACATTCAAGATGGCACTTGTTTCGTTCGCAGCAGGATATATCCTTCAAATTTAATTGCAATTATTTATAGCAGATTCTTTTGAAGGAAACTATGGGTTTGGCCCCTATTAGTTACATGAAAATAGTTATCCTCTTAAATCTTACATCTATTTGTTTAGCATGGGTGTAGTCTTCAGTGGTAATATGATTCATTGATGTAGTAATTTTAGCCAAGAATCCACTGTCCTCATCATTTGCATGGTTATGTATGTATTATAGAAGCCTATAACATTCCCACTTTTGTTGAGAAATCCTGTCTATTTCTTTCCTCAGCATTATTTTAAGTAGGGGCAAAGATTTAGTCAGAATTTAATGTTTCTTTTTAATCACGAGGCTGCTCCTCCCCAATGTTTCCTTTCCATCCTCATGCCTAACTCTTCTCTCAAACTCCTTGCAACTTGTGCACTAGATTGAGCCTCTTTTGTCACTATGGTCTTTGGCCGAGAATCCTGATTCTCCTATTCCTGTCATGTAACAAGCAATTGAGGGAGGGAAGGAGAAAGGGAGGGAGGGTTAAGGGTTTAAAGATCAAAAGAGGTTTTCTCCCGGATGTTATATTAGGCCGCCAAGTAGCCAGCAAAAAGTCTTCCAGAAGTCGGTCTTTAAGGAAAGATTGCAAACATGGAAACTTGGTCACTCAGTGCGTTGCTCTTGAGACTGGTTGAGGAAATGGCTGGGTATGAGGGGGGGGAGGAAGCATTGGTAGGATGAGCCCTGGTTTTCTTATTGAAAGTTTGAGGCATCATGTCTATACATCTTTATCCCTAGTGTTTTAAGACATGTATGAAAGGGCTTGTATGTAAAAATGGGCGTGTTGTAGGCTTTTATTATTCTTTGTTTGTGCTTTTTCATGTGAGCGTGCGTTCGTGCCTTCTTGCTAGTTGTAACTGTTCATCCTGAATTGAAAGACACCTTTGTCAAATTCATCCTATTTCTCTCTTTTTCTCTTGCAGGCTTGGGGATGTTTTATCTGCTTTAACTGCAAAAAAGGACGTTATACCCTATAAAAATTCAAGGCTCACAGAGTTACTCACAGATTCATTGGGTACAACTTTTTCCTTTTCCTGAAATTGCATAGCATATATTACATCTTGTGCATCACCACGGTTTGATTGCGTGGAGCAGTTACAAGAGTTAGTGTCACGGTATCTTGTGTGGACCTCTACTACATATACTTTTTACGTTATCAACATTTGCGCATGTAGCATTTTGACTTCCTAAGTTGGAGTTTGGATGGACTGAGTGAGTGCAGTCTTGTTCACTTGAAACAAGAACTAAGGAAAAACATGTTTTTTTGTTATAATGTTAGTGGCAGTTTGGTGTGTTTTTCAAATATAACTGGTCTAGAAACGGAGCGGAGCAAACTATATGTTCCTTGAGTGACACTTTTGATCTCACACATCAAAATGGTTAAGATCTCAAGAACGTTTCCATGGAGAAGAGTCCATGCATCAAAAGAACTTGAAGGTTTATCTGAACCTTGGTCGCATGGTTTTCATATTAATATAAAGAAAAAGATGTACAACATTGTCCCTAGTAATCTAGAACATTATAAAAGTATCCCTCAGCGATATTTACATTACTGAATGACCAAATGAATAGAAAATTTGTAATGAAGGTATATCAATAAAATGCACTTTTCACTCCCTGAAACCACCGTTCTCTTACACTCCCCATCAAACTAATGCGGGTGATCATCAAGCATCAATTTGTGCACAAGGAGATCATGACGCTTGTTAAGCATGACTTTGGTGAAGATATCTTCCATGTGGTCACCAAAAGGAACATATGAAAGACTTGGTTCACCCATTTGAACCTATTCGTGGACAAAGTGGCAATCAACTTCTATATATTCAGTTGTTTCATGGAAGGCTGGATTATTAGCAGTTTTAATAGCACTGATATTATCAGCGTAAAGTGAAGTTGGAGCAATAAACCGAATTGCCATATCACTAAGAAGTCGTCTAATCAAGACCACCTAACTACTGGTAGATGGCATACCTCTGTACTCTGATTTAGATGTGAACTTGGAACTACCAAGTTGCTTCTTGGATTTCCATGTAACAAGTGATGAACCAAAGAATAAACGATATCCTGTAGTGGAGTGATGAGTCTCAGGACATCCAGAATAAGGCCATGAGCTTAAATTGGTGGTCGGCTGAATAGATAGATATCTCTCGAGTCCCATGTAGACAACTCATGATTCAATGAACAACAGTTAACTATAGATGATGAGGATCCGAGGCGAATGCAACTAACATGGACAACATGGGCAATTTTTGATCGAGGCATCATAACCATACAAGACATCCAACAGAGTGTCGATAGCCCGAAGGATCAGAGATTTTATCACCTTCATTTTTAGAATACTTCACATTCAGCTCCAATGGACTATCCACTAACTTTGTATCTGCTAGGTGAGCAAGCTGTAAAAATCTTGAATATATTTTTGTTGCCCCAAAAAATTTGAAAATGTCCCATGTCCTTCATTTTAAAAGTATTGAAGGAACTTCTTTAATGCTCGAAGTCAAGCTGAGTCATCTCCAGTTATGTGGAGATCATCGACGTACACAACAAAATGAACTGTCCTAGCACATGTTTGCTGAGTAAACAAGGAGTAGTTGTCAGGGCTTTGAATATAACCAGCTCCATAAATAACACATCTTAAATGGTCATACCAAGCCCTAGGTGCTTGTTTCAGCCCAGGTAAAGCTTTTCTCAATCGACACACATATTGTAGAGTAGAATTATGCCTTGGGGCTTGTGTCATATACATAGTCCCCTTAAGATCACCATTTAGAGGCATTCTTGACATCCATCTGAAATATATCCCAATTCTTTGTTGAAGCAAATGGCAACTAAAGTTCTAAAAGTAGTCATTTTAGCTTACGGTGCAAAGATCTCTTCGTATTCCAATCCGTACGCCTATTTGTACTTGTGCAACTATGCTTGCCTTCTGCCAATCAAGAGAGCCATTTACGTGCAACTTGTGTCAATCAGGTTTGAGATTTACAGAGTAAACCCATTTGCTTCGAACTTTAGATGCTCCCTTTGGCAGTGGTATCATTTCCCAAGAATAATTCAGTTCTAAGCTAAAATTTCCTCTTGCAGAGCATGACTCCAACTGTCGAACGTATGTTCTTAGGAGCCTGTTTATTAGAAATAGGAACAGGAGCAGTATCAAAGGAAGCTACATATGAATGATGTGAGTAGGTGAGGAGATCTGGAGGATGAGAAACATGAGGAATGTAGTACAACTATATCAGAAGGCGTTGTCGAAGTAGATACCTGGGGAGGATTTGACACTGGTGAAGGTTCAGAAAATAGTGTAGATGCGACAATAGCAGGATCTGACACTGGTGAAGGGTCAGATGGTGCCACAAATAAGACTGCTCTTGCCTTTCTAGCACTGGTGAAGAGTCAGATGGTGCCACAAATAAGACTGCTCTTGCGCTTCCAAAGTAGGTGCAAATAGGCTGCATATGGTCGGAATCAGAGAATGGAGACTAAAAACTGGAGAAGACAGCAAAATGGGGGTACCAATAGATGAATATGGAGAGATGTGTATAGATTGAAAATGACATATATGGTCAAGAAATATTGACATTGCTTGAGATACTGAATTTGTTCTTCATAAGGTCATAACATCTATGCCCTTTCTCAGTGTCACAATATCCTAAGAAAACATGTTTGTAAGCCTTCACTCCACAGTTATCGCATTCATTGTCAGGAAAGGGTATAGCAAATAAAACCAAAAAGTCTAAGGTTGGTCTTCTGCTCAAATTTCACTAGGCATTCTATCAATCAAATAAATACTTGTATGGCATGTTTCAGCCCAATATACCTTAGGAACCTGAGACCGATGCATTATTGTTGTGCAAGTCTTTAAGATGTGATGATTATTTTGCTCTACAACAACATATTCTTCCGAGGTATGAGTGCACAACCACTGATGTATGATTCCATGATCCATTAAGAACTCTTGAAATTCCCATTATGGATATCTTGTCCAATAATTAATAAATAGAACAAAGTACATTTTCCTAGTCTTTGTTGGAACTGAACTTGGTCCCAACATATTACTCGGATAATATCAAAAGTTGGAAAGCTATGGGAATTTCTTAAAAGAAGAGGCAATTTATGAAATTTTATAGTACAAATATAGAAGTTGGAAACCCCTGAGATTCTGAATTGATTTAGGAATCTGAATCACGGGCAGCTGTAAGATTTCTATTGTCGGAATCACTGTCTGTACCAGTGTTTAAAAGATCGACTGATTTTTAAAAAATCGGCCGATTAACTCGGGATTGGTCACTGGCTGATCCCGATCTGGCCCGATTCCAACAGTCATGTATGCAGGAATTTTTTTTTTCAATGCACTAATTGGCCGACTAATCAGCACTAATCGGCGATTTGTTCTAAAAATCGGCCAATAAGTGCACTATCACACTGCAGAGTTTGCAAAGCTGTCCGTACAACATTTTTATATATTACTCCTTTTTTTTCTTTTCCCTATTCTTATGTGGACATGGTTTCTATGCAAGCGGCCCGCATGTTGTAGAAATGCGGGCTTAGCAATAAATATATTTTTTAAATATAATTTCATCCTAATTTTTAGAGAATATATAATCTTTAACATGGAGATCATGAAAAAGAAAATTATATTAAAAAAATATTTGGACTGTTAGTTACACTTGTTTTTAGATGGACTACCTATTTGCATCCATCTTTAAGATGGATGCTTTATACCTCTAGACCGCATATTGTAGAAATGCGGTCCAGCCCGCATGAAATAATTTTCGTTCTTCTGTTTCTCTACTTAAAACTTTATATATTGTTACAAACTTTTTATTTGCTAACTGCAGGGTTTGCCACCTTGGGCGAGTAGACTTAGGCGCACTAGAGTTGGTTAGGCTCGACATGGTGCCAAGCCTGTAGGTCCCTTAACTTGGGGGATATAAAATTTATTTGTTGTTCATTTGATTTGATCTTCAATTTAATACCCACACGACCAACCCCCGGAGGGGCACATAGACATACACATAGACGCAAATATGAGAGAGAGAGATGGAAATTTATCAAAATTGTCACTAAGAGACGAATTTTATATTGTACCCTACATTTTTAATTGAATTCCAAATGTCCAAAAATCAAACATGGTCTTGAGTTGAAATATTATAATATTATATCATATTATATTATATATTAGATATTTATATTTATTTTATTAATGGAATTTATATTCTATAATATTTATAGATTACATATGATATATAAGATATAATATTAATATATTTATTATATATTGATCACTAAAAAACTATTGCTTTAGGTGCCCAATCATTTTCTCCGAAACCCAATTATGCTTATAATATTTATTTTTTTTAACTTTTTTTATGTGACAATATAAAAAAACAATACATGTAAATTTTAAACATTTTTTTTACAATTTTTTATAATTTTTTTGGGATATTTTGAGTTTTTTAGGATTTTTTTACAAAATTGCATTTTTCAAAAAAAATCGGGGCACTAATCTGCCGATTTAGTCGGAATCGGTCGGACTAATCGGATCGGGTCAAGACCGACTAGTCGGCCCGATCCGTTGTTTTGAACACTAGTCTGTACAAGGTGAATTGTAGGAAATGAGATTCCTACTTTATCGAAATTAGTGTGAACCTAAATGGAATTGAGATTCCTACATCTATGGAATCTATTTTAAGCCCAATTAAAATTGAGTTTCGTACCATTTTGGAATCGAGTTTCAACCCAACTAGAATCAAGATTTATACCATCTTGGAATCGAGTTTCAACTCACTTGGAATTGGGGTTCCTGCCTTTGTGGGATCGGGTTTCAACACAATTGGAATCGAAATTCCTACATCTGTGAGATCATGCACCCGAAAACTTAGAACCACAATAAAATCAACAGGAAGCGTGTTTCGTAGTGCAATAGGTTCGAGGTTATAGAGTAAACTTATGCAAGAATCCATTAGTATTGGAATTGATGTATTGAGTAAGCTTGCAATAGGTTCGAGGTTTTAGAGT